TTTCGTGTACTCAATTTTGTGGTCCTAATTATTTGATTGGCACGTCACACTTGCCTTACTTGATTCCAAAGTGAAGTTTGTTAATGTTAGTAAACACCCGTGGCTACATTGTTTCTTCTTTAAGGCTTAACTCTTGAAGCTTGTTGTGGTAAATATGAATTTGCCGACCAAATCATGGAATGGCTTATTTAGATGATAAAATTAGTTACAAAGTGTAAGTAGAATTTCAACCACCCACCTATTTATGGCTTAGTGTTAATGCATTTTTTGTAAATGACGGCTTCTGGCTCTGAAAATACCTTTTGACGTGACAATCTAAAGCCTATCACATATTCATAGAGATCACAGAACGATGAGTCGAGGTCTTCACATTCCAGCAGCCACAACTCGATTTCTGTAAGGCAATTACACGTATCCTATTCAACAGCATTCTTGGCGTTAATCTTGCTAAAATTGTCAAAATTTTATCTTTGAATATTATGTAACTGATAGACATTCTATATGAATCATTTTTGACGCAGCTGTTCAAATACATCTCTCTATGTCTGAAATTGCACATACTTAGTCACTCATGTCTTACAATAATCCATGTTTGTTCCCTTAATTTCCTCACACAAATATGTATTGATGCTACCATTTTTATCTGTTGGTATTTCATTTCTCTATAGGTCGCCCCCGACTATCTAGTCGGATGAGCAATGATAAGCCTCATATTCCTCGTGAGTCACTTATGACACATAAAGAACGCAATATAGCTGTTAGCAAGGATCCGGACAGTGATGAAGATGGTATATGTTCTGAACACACCGAGGACTTCTTGATTATTGAGATACAGTCAACACTTGAAAGAAGTCTGAGACGGGGCCATTCAAGAGACAATCTCGTTCTTGAACTTAACTCTCTTAAACATGCATATAATATACCAATCGATGATCTGCACTTTCTTCTTGTAAAAGCAATTATCTCAATGTCGCTGGCTGAAGCAGGTCTTCCTGTAGATCTCGACGATTCGCAAGAGTCATTTAAAAAAGCCAAAAAAGATTTCATATCGGCTTTTAAGCGCATCATGGAATCAGATGGGCTAGTGTGCAGTATGCTCTCTTATTATCTACGTGGATCCCCCGTCGCGGGTTCGGATACTCATGTTAGTAGAGATGCTGAGCGACTTTACCTACAAGCTCTGGAGGACTCGGCTTGCCACGACAGTCTTGTTCTAGATTCTGGACTACTTTTGATCCACTATCTCTACGAGGCCGAACTGATTAGTGAACCCACTATTCGCTGGTGGTTAGTCAATTCTCCTCTTTTGTTAGATGATGATGTGGCAGTGAAGACATCAAATCTGCGTACCAGACTCGAACCCTTTATCCGGTGGCTGGATGAAGCGGAAGAAGATGATAGTTAATAGAAAAAATGTAATAACTTTGTTCAGTATGTACATTTTTGCCAATGAATTTTGCATATTTTTTCTGGTATGAGCTTTTTAAGATCACTTTATATTTTTATACATTTAAATGGGCTTAGCACTTAATTATTAATTTTTTGCTCGCACTTATTGTCCCTTCCTAGATTTCATCTATACTGAAGCGACTAACACTAAGGCAAGAGGTGGCCTGTCTTATTTGGTAAAGCGTATTTTCCCAAAGCTTGTGAAGGAAATTACAGTCATCTAGAGTGGGCGACAAGCTCAGATATTGGCTTCCTGTAATTAAGGAGTATCCACTAGCCAATTCATGTCGAAGCTCTATTATCTGAAAACAATTAATCAGAATTGCTCTAGGAGTCTCTAATCTCCTGCCTAGTATCCCATATCGAGCTCTTGTCAGTATTCATTGCCGATTTTTCGCCGGATTGATTTACTTCCATGATCCTATTTATTGAGGTAAACTCTCAGTATTGTCTATTCATGTCAGATCAAATTTAAAGCCTTGTCTTTGATTCTTCCAAGGAGCCGCAATTGAACTTAATAGATTATAGTATTCAAGTGCCTATAAAAGAGGACGTCTCAATTGTCTGATGATCAGGTCACACTTTTTATGCTTCTGATTTCACGCAAAACACCCATCAACTTTATCAGATGTGTTCGATATTACGCGATTGAAGCGCTGGTTTAAAAATGTCATTAAATCTCGTTGACCGAAGACAAATGTTACGTTTTGTTGTAATTACTTTAAACTATCACTGCTGGTTCCATACTTTTACATAAGCTTTAACAGATGTGCACTCACTATCATACAAATAGCAGTGCCTCCAACCGAACCACGTTGGCAGAGTAGGACTTCATGCGTATATTTATGTATGTAATGATAAGCCGATGAATTCTTTATTGGTTAACTTGAGCTAATTAAAAAATGATACCTTTCTCTGATGTTTTTCATATGATGGACAAAGGCTCAACGCGCTTTCATTGAAAATGAAGGGTAGCATCGACCGAACCATTTTAGTCAAGCCAAAAGCTAGCTGGCCAATAAGAATCTATTATCTTCCTCTAGTTGGATTGATCTCCGGACATAATTATTATGACATGAAATTTAATGGGCTCGACCGTAGAGACTCTCCAATGCCAGCTTCTTTTCCAATATGCCACGTATTTATGTTACAGACTTGCATAAAGAGGACTTTATTAGGCCACAAGATAGAGGAGGCGACATAACAGAAAAAACGGATAAAATTCATAGATGCCAAAGTGATATTAGTGCAATTATTCAAGAAAAAGATCAATTACATCGATTACCCTCCACATGTACCGTTTCATTCTTCTATCGTTCTAATGCTAAACGATGCATGGGACCTTTACTAATTGCCAAAATGAAGGGGATTATTTCAAGACTCGGCATACCTAAGTTTTGAGTAGATCAGTAACTTTTTCGTTTTTCTAGGTACTCTTCCATTGCCATTATAGCTTTCTTACATCTGTGGATAAATGATTTAGCAAGAAGTTTTCTGCGATATCTCAGTCAAACACATGTTGAGGCCACGGCTGGACATATTTTTTGTGTTAGTCCAACTCTGAAATTGGGTACAGCTGCAACATAGTCGGTGGTTAAAATAAGTCTGTGTAACCTCGCCACCTAGATATAAAATGCGATTAGAATACCTAATCCGTCTTGATATTCTTAAAGCCCAATGTAGCCTAAGAGCTGATAATGGAAATTCTCCACAACGAAAAGTAAGACGCACGATGTCAAATTTTAGTTCGTCTTGCCTCATAATCCCCAAGCTCATCAACGCCTCCACCATGATTCATGATCGGGTCTCGTCCACTATTGCGGCGTCAACAGACTGGAGAGCCGCAGAGCACATTATCCATTTGGGAACCAACTATTAATAATTCTCAAATAAGAACTTAGGTACTCTGGAGGATTTCACGGCTCAAAATGTTTTTTTTTCATTTAGAGCGGTCGGCGATTTCAGCTTTGCCTAGGTCCTATTAACACTATTAGTGGGATTTGAAACCAGTCGTGGCTTTTGTTGCCTTGGCAGACAGATATACCCAATGATCCAATTTCACTCGCCGCGGTTAGTTCCTGAACATAATGCACCTCATAACCAATTCAAAATGTTCACTAAATTCAACAACGGTTCACATTCTGAACTTGTAGACATATATACCAAACCACTTCAATTGTAGCTAACTTGAGGTTCCATTTTTCGCCTTTTTCTTTGGGCTTTGCATGAAAATGCACCGACCGGAGTGTACTAATCCGCATAGGTACCATACTGGACGTACCTATTATTTTCAACACATAATTAAGATCACTTTTACCCACAGCCCAAATCCGGAAAAGCGACAAATGCACCTTTAAAGGCAGTCAAATTACTTCAATATAGGATAGCAACATCAATGAAGGTTAACAAGCGCGGGGCTACGTCAATCAACCATCTAACTTAATCACTATTCGGTATCAAATAGCCGCTCATGGACAAAGCCAATCAATTTATTATCCTATTTGCCAGTGATCATCATTGGTCTAAGGATCGAGGCGAATAAGCTCATAACCATTGGTATTATGCGGACTATAATTAATATACTTAGGAATCGAAGAGCTAATATCCACTTGAAAGCGCTTATCTCACTACCTGCCATTTGCATCTTCATGAGCTAGATGAGACGCTCAAAAGATACTCTAATTTAACTACGCACCAGTACACAGCTGGCACAAGGAAACAGGCAACAGAGGCGCAGAATCGCAAGTGACTGTTATCATGTAGTAGTCTAAAATAGCAAATCGCAGTAGGAAGCAGTTCAGGTATTTATGTAGATAACAAATATACTCTATTTGCAATTTCATCCATCACATATGACCTTGACAAAACCTCACACTTACAAGCAAATGAATTAGAGGTTAAGTCCATAGTCGCACAGAATAAGCGTCTCTAGATGCTATTATCATAATAGAAAACCATCCATAGCTGCTTCAAATAGTTACATAAACCAGAATAATAACGATGAAGGGGCACTAAGCGCAACCCTTTGTGGCACGGGAATGTCGACCGCCATAACAAGTAGACAGGAAAGAAAGATACTTTGAAGAATGGGATTGCAGAAAAAAAAATCAAAACCAAATCAATCACCACGAAACCAGAGTAAAGCGACAATAAATGTGGACATTTAATATGATATTTAATGGAAACAAATGAGTGGGAAGTTCTGCAATATAATATGGCAATTGTAGGCTTAAGAAGCAAAAGGCAAAATGCACAGATTCTGTCATCACCAGAAGTCAAGACTACCCCATTCAATATGCCAAGGGCTAACTAATGAACGGGCTCCAGCATAGTTATGGGCTAACGCTTTACATGTGTTCGAGAAAGGATTAATGTTATGCTTATTAATATAAGCTTCGATTCGTGATTCCATGTCCATTATCTCTTTAGAAATAAACCTAGACTTAAAAGGAAGAATGGCGGCAACACGACTAAGGATATGGTACGCTCGTCGCCAATGCAAATGTCCCCCGAGTTCGACGAGAATGCGGTAGGCCTTTACTGGAGTCACATAATGGTGTACGTCACCTAGAATAAAACCAAACCAATGCAAGTATCAATAAGTCAATAAAATAATATCGCAAGCCCCAAATAATACCTTTTCCGCCACCCATACGACTACCAGCAGATCTTTTGGTTTTGGGTTTCCAGGGTGGATCAATGCCCCAAATTGCAAATTGACTATTTTCATCGATCTCTCTATTAATTGTATTTCTCAGCATTTCGATATGACCAAATTTAAGCTCACCGCCTTGCAGAGCCTGAAGTGATTATACAAGAGCAACTACTTGGATGCCGTACTGTCCGTATTTTAAATCACAGTTTACTAAATCTGGACCCCTTATATCAATCATGTTTCTTGGATATTGTATTTGTTTTGTATGCATAAGAGGTGTCGGCTGGCGAGGAAGCGGTCGTAGCCTTCTTCTTTCGGGAGGAAAGTCTACAGGTTGTTCATCCTTAAATTCAATCCAATTGATGTTTGGGTAATATTCAATATAAGATGAATAAAGTCTTTGGAAAATCCTAGAAGTGATAAAGGGCGCACGAGAAGGAGCAACAAAATGCATATTGGAAAAGCAAAGACGAAATATCGCGGAATGATTAAACCCGGAAAAACAAACAGATAAGGACAATTTTTTATTACATATGGAATATAATACACGGTATATCTTTAAAAGCTATTTTTTAAGTATATCTTTTGTGAACAAACTTACTCTTATTTCTTACTTGGATACTTCTTTCCTTCATTTTACACGTTGCAGGTTGGACACCGAAGCCCTGCAGAGTAACTTTAAAACATTCCGGTGGTCCGATACCTTTGACATTCCTTTACTTTGCTGCTCTGGGGTTTTCGACGATATTGTACATGCCATAGATATAGTTAACGAATAATAGTAGCATGCATTTTTCATTATGAAAATACAACAGGAGACAAGACCATATCCATATCCATTTTATATTTAATCATAAATCTCTTTGTCTAATTTATAATACACTAAAGGCGAGACCTTAGCATGCTCAACAGAGGCAAAGAATTTTCTCATTATATAAATGAGGAAAAATTGATCATATCAATCTGTTCCTGTCTTATGGTCAGATACCTAACTTGAAGTTGAAACCGTGTTTTTTGGACATAAATGGTCTTCAATGATAAATACAATATTAGGACTAAAACAGAATATCCTAATTTTAGCCAGATAGAATGTGAAGTTTACTCAGTTGTATTACAATTTTACAGGACCATGATATACTAGTTATCTTCTCATTTCTATGCTTATCATAACCTTGAACCACATTTTTTTATGCTACTAATCGGTAATCATAAGTAGGGATTTATATTCTAACGTGTATTTGTCAATAACTCAACTCCAGCTTCACATAAAATGTAGTAACTCTCCTCTTCCACCTTCGGGCGTTTTACGTGATTTTTAAACTTGCATACGTTGTTATTTTTAAATTTGCCTTGCATTATTTTTAGTTTTCAATAGTTTAAAGCACATTTTCTTATAGATATGTGCACTTAATTATTGTTTAAATGTGGAATGCCTAAAATCGATCCAAGCCATTAAATAAAATGCTTATAAATTTAATTAAATTATTTAGTTAACACATTTCTGCTTTAAGAATTCATTAATTTTAAAAATAATCATTTTCTTGATTATTAGCTTTCATATATTATAGTCTTATATTAAACGTTTTTTTACCGCTGTAGCTATTCCTATTTTTCTCATACACCGAAAGTAATTAAATATATGTCAGATCTAGAGTGAAAAATTAATTGATGTGTAGTTGATCAAACGACTTCTTTCTTATTCCTTCAGGTTCTTTATGTATGCCATAATTCGAGACATATTCATATTAACGCATCATCATCGTAGCATTCATGATTTTATATTGCGAAAGCTAGCTCCACCGAGGCTATTAGGTTGAACTAAAAATGAATCGCGTTGTGCCCTTATAAGCTTCCCTTAATAATCGCAACATATTCAGTACCAACTACAAGAT